TTCAGCAGGGCACGGATGAGTGTTCCACCGTCCACAGGGGCGGATGTGCATTCCCTGGGTCCACCAAAACCTACACCCGTGGGCAGGTCGGATGTCTCCGCATTTCCCTCTCCCTCAAACGATGCTCGACTCCGGAAGAGTGGCATCAGTGGCTATTAGCCACAAGGTATAGATAGGAGCTCTCGGTCTGGGGCAAGTGATGCTCTGTCATCTTGGTGTTTGGGGGGGGGGTCAACAGTGGGAGGGCTTCTAATGTTCTGGCCCCACTGCTGGACCTCCTGAGGGCACCTGGTATTTCTGGCCACTGTGTGATAGAGAGTGTTGGACTGGATGGGGCTTTGGCCTGATCCAACATTGGCGTCTCTTATGTTCTTATGTTCTTAAGAAGAGGAGGAGGAGGAGGAGGAGGAGGAGATTGGATTTATACCCCTGGCCCTTCACTCAGAGCGGCCTACAAACTCCTTTCCCTTCCCCTCCCCACAAAAGACACCTGTGAGGTCGGCAGGGCTGAGAGAGCTCTTTCCAGAGCTGTCCTTGAGAGAACAGCTCCGACAGAACTACGGCTTGCCCAAGGTCATCCAGCAGCTGCGAGTGGAGGAGTGGGGGGAATCCAACCCGGTTCTCCCAGATTAGAGCCCGCGCACTTAACCACTGCACGAAACTGGCCCACAATCCATTTCCCCAGGCAGGAACCTCCCCCTCCCCAACTTCAATTTTATCCCAATCCAATTGGGAGAGGAAGGCCACCTGTAGCAAAATTTGGGGGTGGAGCTTGTGGAGGGCGGGGCATAACGGCATAGAGGCCACCCTCCAAAGCGGCTGTTGTCTCCAGGTTGTCTCCAGGGGAGGTCTCCAGGCCCCACCTGGAGGCGGGCAACCCTCCCTGCTGAACATCCACCCACCCCCTCCACTTTGCAATCAGTCAGAGAGCCTTTCCACTGCCCCCATGATGAAGATGATGATGAAGAAGAGGAGGAGGAGGAGATTGGATTTATGCCCCACCCTTCAACATCCGAAGGAGTCTCAGAGCGGCTTACAATCTCCTTTCCCTTCCCCTCCCCACAACAGACACCCTGTGAGGCAGGCGGGGCTGAGAGAGCTCTTTCGAGGACTGCCCTTCAGCGAACAGTTCCGAGAGAACTTGTGACTGACCCAAGGTCACACCAGCAGCTGCATGCGGAGGAGTGGGGAATCAAACCCGGCTCTCCCAGATTAGAGTCCGCCGCTCCTCACCACTACAACCAAACTGGCTCCTCCCAACTGAGTTAAACATCGTTTTGAATGCTCCGATTAGGAGAGCCGGTGTGGCGTTGGGGTTAAAGACGCAGACTAGGAGCTGGGTAGAGGATGTGAAGGCCCGGAAAAAAAACGGAAAAATTCGGGGGGAAACTGTTTTTTTCCCATTTTTTTCCTGAAGCCTTTTTTGTTTTTTTCCGAAAAATTGAAAAAAAGAAAAGAAAAGAAATTGATTATGGAACGTTTTATTTTAACATGATTTGGAAAATATTTTAAGACAAGGTGTTCAAATATTTTCCAAATCATTTCTAAAATATATATATATGGTATCAGATTGATCCAATTTCTGTGCACTGAGGACAAGCAAGTCCTAGGTTACCAACTGAACTCTCCAATGCAAGAACAAGATGCATTTCTTCCTTTAGGAGGTGCTATTGTCACGAGAAAAGAAAAAGGTTTCAGTTTTGTTTTTGCATGTGGGCGGGTATTCTGTTTGTAACAACTGTTTGGATACACTATATTTTTAATATGCTAGATGTGATAATTTCATGCCAAGTAAAAATGCCCATAGTCATATTTTATGTTCCTAAAGTAACAGAATGACTTTCAATCTAGAAAAGAAAAGAAAAAAGTGCTAATGTAGCATTTTTTTCAATTTTCCTGAAAATTTCCATTTCCCCCCTAAAAAAACTGGGGAAAGAACCGGTTTTTTTCCAAGCTTCAAAATTTCCGGAAATTTTACATCTCTAGAGCTGGGTCGTCTCGGTTCGATTCCCCCACTGTGCCACCGAAGCTCGCAGGGTGACCTTGGGAGAGTCACCTACATCGCAGGGTTCACCTGATGAGGTTGAGAAGTAGTTTAACAAAGCCAGAATGGCACCCAGGGAAAACCTGCTGCAAGACAGGCCCAAAAGAGACAACGACAGAACACCAGTAGTGGTCACACAGAGCTCTCAACTCAAAACAGTAAAACGCATTTTATCAAAGACTTACAATCTCTGCTGGATACTGGCAGTTCTCTTTCACAAGTACTGGGGGGGGGGGAAACCTTTTCTTGCCCACAGACGGCCCCCCAATCTCAAACCACTCCTCACCCTCAATAATACAACATCTAATTTGAACATGCCAACATTTCCACCACATACACCCAGACAACACAATCACTGGACCTAACAACATCGACGACACCATCTCAGGCTCATTCGCTTCCTCATTGTCTAACACCGCGTCGGCCATTAAATGCCAGCAATGCCCTTTGGTTCTCTACGTAGGGCCAACAGGTCAAACCCTGTGCCAAAGGATAAATGGACACAGATCGGACATCAAGAAGCACAAGGCTGAGAAACCTGTAGAACTCTTCAACACTTCAACCTTGAAGTAGCTGTTTTATTGCAAAGGGGTTCCAGAAACAGACTAGATTGCTGAGCTACAAAGTTATTACAGCAGTCGGGGCAACGGAACGCCCAGGGCTTAACAGAGAGATTGGCTCCTTATCTCACTACACATGCAAATGTCATTCAGTTTTTGCAGCTGTAATAAACGCCCTCATTATGCTTTATGCTCATTTGCTGCTATTCACAGGTCTTGCCAATCACGTCCATCCAGTCTTAGCTAAATTTATCGCTCAGTCACTTATGCATCTTGACTCTAATTAGCCCCTCCTGGCAACACCTTCTATCTATATGTAGTGGCTGGCGACTTCTGCTTCAATGTACCCAAAGAAGTGCCCTTAAGCCCAGAATAAAACTTTGCCACTGGACTCGAACTCTGTTCCGTTGCTTCAGACCACCACGGCTAACTCACCTGAATCCATTTCCAACTTGTATCGGGCCAAGGGAGCTTTTGTCTCCCAAAAGCTCATCCCTTCCAAATCTTTGTTGGTCTCTAGGGTGCAGCAGGACTCGAACCCAGCTCTTCTACCGGGATGTAAATAGAGCAAAGGAGACGACTAAAACTTGGGAAGAGGCAGTGAGGGTTTGGCTGCAAATCGACATCTGCTGTCTAGCATGTTTTGGGTCAGGATGAACCCTCCCCCCCCCCCCCCCCAACCAAGAGATGTTGCGGAAACAACTATGGGGACAACACAAAGCAGGCAATGAAGAGCAGTGACAAAGTATCCTGGTGACCGTTCGCTGCATTTTAGCCCAAAGAGCATTTTCTATCCCTACCACCTTTGCCCCCAAATACCCACTTGACCAGAGTTCCCTCTAAGCTGAGTATGCGCTAGCTCACAGTTTTTTAGCCTCCGGCTCACACCTTTTTGTCTCGGCTCAGGAAGGAGGGCTCCAGAACAAACTGGTTTATGCAGCAGCCAAACCACTCACTCACAACTTTAATGCCAGTAGTAGCTCACAAAGTTTGGATTTTTGCTCACAAGACTCCATGGCTTAGAGGGAGCATTGGTCAGGTCTCCTTAAAAGTTTGCTTTTTTTGGCGTCAGGAGCAAGCAGGCGTTGGGGTTGTGTGTGTCTGTGTGTAAACGCTTCTTTCTAAATGCCAGTTTTGGGGGGTACCCCAAGCGCAATGCTCCCTCTAAACTGTGGAGTCTTGTGAGCAAAAATGCCACTTTCTGAGCTACTGGCATTAAAGCTGTGAGCCAGCAATTTGGCAGCTGCATAAGTTAGTTTGCTCTGGAGCCATCCTTCCTGAGTGAAGGCAAAAGTGTGTGAACCGGAGGCTAAAAAACGGTGAGCTAGCTCACACTAACTCAGCTTAGAGGGAACACTGCTTAAGACTCCTGTTTGTAGACAGAGGAAAGGCTCAAAAGGGAGTTTATAGGTTGGGTCCAGTGTTCCCTCTAAGCCGAATTAGTGTGCGCCAGCTCACAGTTTTTTAGCCTCCGGTTCACACACTTTTTTGCCTTCACTCAGGAAGGACGCCTCCAGAGCAAACTGATTGAGGCAGCAGCCAAATCGCTCGCTCACAACTTTCATGCTTGCAGCTCGCAAACCAGAATTTTTGCTCACAGCTTAGAGCTGTGGTGGCTCAAGTGGTTAAGACGCTGAACTGCAGGCTGTGGAAGGTCGGTAGTTCAGCAGTTCGAGACCCGAGTTGCCGCATGACAGGGTGAGCTCCCGTCTCTAGTTCCAGCTCCTGACAACCTAGCAGTTCAAAAGCAAGACATTGCAAGTAGATAAATAGGTACCACTTCAGTGGGAAGGGAACAGCGTTCCGTTTAGTCATGCCGGCCACATGACCATGGAAACGTCTTCGGACAGCGCTGGCTCTTCGGCTTTGAAACGGAGATGAGCACCGCAACCCTAGAGTCGGATTCGACTGGCTTTCGAGCAAGGGAACCTTTACCTTTACCTTAGAGGGAGCATCGCACCTGACCAATGATATTTCTACAAAACAGAGCGCTCTTTGCCAATTCCAGAAGCC